TCCCAGCTCAGGACCCTGGCGGACTCTTGGAACCAGGTGCTGAGGAGTTAGTTGGTGGCTAAACCGCTCACTTTTCTGTTGCAGACAACATAGGTGGCCCAGAAGGCAAAAGGGCCCGGACGGCCTACACGCGCTACCAGACCCTGGAGCTGGAGAAGGAATTCCACTTCAACCGCTACCTGACCCGCCGAAGAAGGATTGAAATAGCGCATGCTCTTTGCCTCTCCGAGAGACAAATTAAAATCTGGTTCCAAAACCGGAGAATGAAATGGAAAAAAGATAATAAGCTAAAAAGCATGAGTATGGCTGCAGCGGGAGGGGCCTTCCGCCCCTGAGCCTGTGGGCGCTCAAAGTACTGAGCAGTGTTAGCGGAGCTCTCCGTAGTGTCAGTACTAAGGTGACTTTCTGAAACTCCCCCTGTGTTCCTTCTGTGAAGAAGCCCTGTTCTCCTTGCCCTAATTCATCTTTTAATCATGAGCCTGTTTATTGCCATTATAGAGCCTGTATAAGTAGATCTGCTTCTGTTCATCTCTTTGTCCTGAATGGCTTTGTCTTGAAAAAAAAATAGATGTTTTAACTTATTTATATGAAGCAAGCTGTGTTACTTGAAGTAACTAAAACAAAAAAAAAAGAGAAAAAAAACACACAAAAAGCCCCCCACCTCGTTTAGTGCCAATGTGTGTTGCACCCGAGTTGTTTAACGTGCATGTGCGTGGAAGTGTTCCTGTCTCAATAGCTCCAAGCTGTTAAAGATATTTTTATCCAGACTACCTATATTCCTTGTGTAATTAATGCTGTTGTAGAGGTGACTTGATGAGACACAACTTAACTTGTTCAATGTGTAGTGGCTAGTGACTGTGACGAAAACTGTGACTCCAAGCGGTGTGTCCCTGCGTGCCTTTGTAGGACCCTTTGCACGAACTCTGGAAGTGGCTCTTATAAGCGCAGCTTCAGTGATGTATGTTTTTTGTGAACAAAGTTACAAATATTGTCCAAGTCTGGCTGTTTAAGCAAACTGTGATCAGCTTTTTTTTTTTTTGTATTTGTTTTTAAGGAAAAATACTGACTGGAAACAAAAAATAAACTTTCTATTGTAAGTTCTCTTGGTCTGATTTGTGCCTAATAGTAAGCACCTCTTTCTGTTTTTCTGTCTGTCCAGTAGTGCTGGAAGCTGGTGGGTCTGAGGCTACCTGGGCAGCCCGCCTGTTCCTAGTGGCCCTCCCACCAACACCTTGACTCATGGCCCTTCCTAATTCTGAGCCATCAGAAAATTCAGGCCAGAAGAAGGTGGGGAAAGCTGTGGGAGGTTCCAAAGCCTGAGTCCACTCTATCCATCTCTGAGGAAACCAAGTTAACTTAATGGGTACCAAAAAGCAGAGGAAGAGAAAAGAGAGAAAAGCCAGGGCTTTGTTAGCCACACTCCGGCCCACACAGATCCTTCATTCCCAAGGCTGTCCTAGGCCTTGCTGAAGGGGATTCTCTGCCAGGATACAGACCCCAAACTCCCTGCTCACTAACCCACCCCAGGACCCCTTTCCCACTCCTCTCACTTAACCCAGTTGGCTTCTTTTGCTACAATTAATTTGCTACAAATGGAAAGTACTTACCCCATCCTAGCTCCATTGGGAAACTCCTCAGAGCAGCTAAAGTGCAACTAGAGATTTGCACATTTACCGACTGCTTACACGGATGCCGTCTTTCCTTTTAAAAGTTATAAAACAGTAAACTTTATAAGCCCCAGTTCCGGCTATATGACATTTGGGTGCCAAATGAATAGGGTTTTGTCTATGAATTAGATCGTAAAATCATCCATAGCACAGACAGATCGGCTCACTGGCTATAAAACGTCACGTGGGGCCATTAAAGTAAGTTTTATGGTTTTGGGGAGTTGACATCCAACATTATATACCACATAACATATAATCTCACTAACGCTGGACTCCATTTGACTCTTTTGCAGGCTACGTGTGCTGCCTGGTCATTCAAATTGTCAATTTTAAGTCCAGAAGTGTCCAAACCACAAGTTCTCAAAACTCTCTGAAAAATGGCTCCCTCCAAGTTAAGGTAAGCTGTCCTCTTGAGTTTATTTGCACTCTGAAAAGTTTCTTGCTCTTCTTTCTCTCTGGCTTAGTAACGCTGAAGCTGTCTCTGAATTCAAAATGGGAGAACAAACTTTTTCCTCTGCCCAAATTAGCAAAGCCAGAGGCAGCTCTGAGGAGGCCGCACGGTGAACAGCGGCTGTGGCCGAGCCCGCATCCAAGGCCTAACTTTAATTGCTGCACAATCGTGAATGTTAATGACTTCCGCTGCTCTGCTGGCGTGCAAAAAGATGATTTTTGAGTGTGTGAGAGAGAATGGGTCTATGTGTGAAAACTTGGCAGCCCCCTCCCATCTTTCTAAGCTTGGCCAGGTCCAGGCTTTTGGGGGGTCACAGAGCTCTGGGATGGGGAGCTGGGAGTTGAAGGAAGCGCGGGTCACTGGAGTGGAGGGCTGAACTGAACTGGAGAGTTTGAAAGAAAGGCCCGGGCAGGGCCGAGGCCGACACTGGCGGGATTCCTTATGGGGCTTTGGCAATATGTCTTCGCGGTCCAGGGTCATTTGGCAGGACTGAATTGAGGCGGCGGCCTTCGGGGCTGGGTTTCAGACTGGCTGGAGAGAGTAGAAGCTGGCTGGGGCCCTGTGGCAGAGACCAGACTGCTTGCACCCACAGGCTGCTGGGGACAGAGGGTCCCCACCTAGGAGGTAAAGGGTACTCAGCTTTCCCGCACTCGAGCCAGGCCCTGAACCCTCAGTTCTTTTCATTTTGCTAGCAGTGTTCTCACCCGCCTGTGAGTCTGAAGCAATAAACTTTATGGCCGGATTTAACTTTAGTCTTTGAATCCTCAGGCTAATTGAAAGGGGTTAAAGCGCTCTCTTTTCTTCCTCCCTGCCTTTCTTCTGCCTCCCTTCTTTCCTTTTCCCCCATCTCTTTGTAGGAGTAAGACACCAATGTTCAGGACCCTCGAAAGGCAACTTAAGTGGTTCCCTAGATAACACTAAAGAAGGAGAAATGTACTCCTCTTCAACATGCAGACAAATTCTCTCTTCTGAAACTGTGCCTAAAGTTTTGAGGGAAATTGAGGTGTCTTCAATGCCCAACTTAAAAGTCTCTAGAGCCATTAGGTTGTTTTTCTTGACACATCATAAAGGGTGCTTTAGGAAGAAATTGCTCGTTTGTCAGTAGGAGATTTCCTTGTCTCTTTTGTTACTTGTTCTTTCTGTTTGATCTCAGGAAATTTACATAATACATGTTTTCCAAAATTGCACCTATGAGTGAAGTTAGGTAAAATAAGAATTTCCTGGGTACAATTCCATCCGCGCCCAGCCTCCCGCGTCCTTCAATGGCAAAGCAAACCAAATAACAGGCTTTCTGCTCTGTCCTGGGGTCTTTTCAGGGTTGGTACCCACCAGAGACCTAATAAATCCCCCCAATCATGTTTGAGGAGCTGAGCCAAAATTTCCAACTATATTTAGAAATGAAGCAAATAATAATAATAAAAAAAGGCTCTTCTTTTTCTCAGGAGCTGGGTAGTTCCTTCAAGTACTAGTTGGTAAAGGTATTTACTAAGTACTTAAAGAGAAACATTTTGAAGTGTTGATTTGAAATCCCAACAAGCATTATTATGCAGAAGCCTTTTTCATTCAGCATAAATCCACAGAAACCCCAAATTCAGAGATTCAAAGAAAGCAAAACCTAGGACATTAAGAGAAAAAAAAAATCAAACTCTCTCACAAATCCCACTTCCTCTAAACAGTGGCGAGCTGAAAGAATCCACGAAGTTATTTTTGTGTGAAGTATTGGTACTTCAGCACTCTGGAGGATGTGTCCACCTCTTAGAAAAAACTAGAGTAAGAAATGTATATTAAAATGGGTTCTTACTATCTAATGTGTCTGAGAATGTTGGAGTCTCTGTTTTGCTGCTCTGAGTTTGGGTTATTAGAAAATGTTGGATTGTGGTTCTGTTTTTGGTTATATGTCTGGTGATTTTGCTTGCATAATTTTTGGTGGTTGAAATGGGGGGGGGGACCCTCGAGGGTCATAGAAATGCTGGTGTTAGTGGGTGTACTGAGGAGAAAGAAAGCTACCACAACATCCTTTGGCCACACCCTGAGGTGTGGAAATGGGTAAAAAGGCTGATGGTATCATATCTAACCTAATACATTCCTAGGGATCTTTCCCACAAATTAAAAAAAAAAATAGAGGCTATGAGTGTTGTCAGCTTGCTTATTTCTGTCTATTTTAATCTTCACAAGGTTTAAGTAGAATTTAAGAGGGCAGGTTGACCCATGTGGAGTTAAGTGACTTTTGAGAAACACAGCATACAAGCAGATCTTTGTGACTGTTATTGGAGGAAATTTTTTTCTTTCTTACTGTTTTCACGGGATGCATACTTAAGAAGGTGGTTGGTTATCTGCTCATTTTGCAGATGAGTTATATCTTCTTGTGGATTCTTTTGAGTCTTTTTTTTTTTTTAAGAGGAGCTTACTTAGAGGGGAAAAGAACCCTTCCCCACTGAGGGCTTTATGAGACCTCCAGCTTCAGCTGGTGGCAGAAATCTGTGTGTTCTCCTGTAAAAGGAGAAGGTGGCAGAAATGTGCAGGGCCCTGTTTGTTTCTACAAGTAAAAAAATTATTCCCTTGACTATGAGTATCATAGGAAGCTTCTGCTCACACTTGTTTAGGGGGTTGTTAGGGTTTCCCTGGTCTGATTTCACAATATCATGCCAAGATCCCCTTTTCTTCTATGATTTCTCACTTTGCCCTGCTTTACTTGGGAGCGAGAAAGAGACAGAGAGACAGAGAGACAGAGACAGAGACAGAGTTTTCTCTCAGAACCAGTGATTCTCACTTGTTGAGAGTTGGAGAATGTTACATCCCAACAACCACAGTACAGAAGATTGGCTGTTAGAGAGGAAGGCAATGCTTTCAGCTTGCAAGATGCCCTTAACATCTCCCCTTCTCTGGTTGGGGTCTACCCATGGCTTGCCCACCATAAAGAAGGCAGTGTCTTAGGCTGCAACCCTTCTGCTCCTGGAGGAGGGGGCGAGGTTCTTCTAGTCAATGACAAGAGTATAAACAGGATGCCAAGGCAAAAGTGAGGGTTTCAGTCTAGGGGTTCAGACAAACAGGGAGGGGGATCCACAGTCTTAAGCTCCAGAACTGGAAGGGAAGCCCAGATTTGTTTTGTTTAGTGTTTTCTGAGAAGAGTTTTGTCCTTTTATCAGATCCCTTCCTCACAAACTGGCCTTTTCAATAATAATATTTGTTATGAAGGTTACTGGGTAATTATTGAGATTTTGTGAAGCAGCCCTTGCTGGAGGTGAAGTCTGTCATCGCCTAACAAATGGCGCCCATGCAGTTCACTGCCGGGTTAAGTAAATGCAGAGCATATAAATCTGCACACCCTAGGACCCGCCAGCAGAGCACGCTTTAGCACAAGTTCACAGTCAGCAGGCCCGGCCGTCCAAGCCAGCTCTCCCAACAATTAAGGCTGCGGCTTTATTTTTAAATAAAACAAAAACCGTCCCACACCCCCTTGCCAGCTCACCCTCCCCCCTCTCTTTTCTTACACTTCTGCTTGAAAAGATTCTCTAGTTCTCCCCTAAACTATCCTGGTTAGTGGGGTCACCAGTGATTTCAAGTTAATCTAGCTTCTAATTCCTGACTTATAAAAAAAAAAGAAAAAGAAGAAGAAGAAGCAGGAGGCTGGTTTGGCAGGAATCATGGTCACAAATACACAGATCTATATACACTCCATCCTCTAATTCTAACAAGAAGTGGTAGGAGCAGGACTGCCTAAGAACCAGAGGGCCCTTTCCCCCTGAAGAGGGGGCTCAGGCTGTGTATCTTTGTGGTTAGTGCGTTACAACTGCAGGTCAAAAAGTTGAGGGTCAAAAGTTTACATTGTGCAGCACTCTTAGTCATCTGCCCAGACAGAGTTTGATGTCAATGTTAGAGCTGCGATCTTGACTATCAGCACAAAAGATAAAATGGCTCAGAGTGACACGTGTATCATGGTGTGGACTCCAGGTGAACCCTAGTGGTTGAATGACCTCAATTACAGAGGAAAGGGTAGAAAATTCCTCTTTTCGGGAGTAATACATGCTGTATTTCATATTGAATTATCACTCCCATTCTGAGGGAATGGCAGCAGGTAAATAGGCATAGATTACCAAAACACCAAAACCTTAAATGCTGGAGAGCCAAGCATGGTTTGTGGACTTGCTACAAAATATAGATGCTTAGAACTCATCGGACGACATTAAAAAACCAAGTAGCAATGTTCCATTGTGCCCCCTTTATATGATTCTGATTAGTCAGGGTGCCTTTTTTATGTTACAATATGTGTAATGATCTCTAAAGTGTGGGAAAAAAAGGGCAGATACCTTGCAAAGAGTATTCTTGGCAATTTTCAAGCACAGACTCTACCCCCTTCTAACTGCAACTCACTAAATGCAAAGGTTTTCAGAACAGGGAGGTGGACGCCCTAATGAAAGGGACAGGTTTCCTTAAAACCACCACTACCGGCAGGAAATGCTTATTAGTGTTATTATGTTCATGTGGTTGGAAATTTTTTTATGTTTATTATTAAACCACTGTTGGATGTCAGGACTACTACAATCTGTAAGTGAGTGACGGTATAGAAGGCAGGAAGCTGGGTTCCTACATGAAAAGCCACATAGTAAAACCACCAGGCTTCTGCTCTCCAGAAAGCACTTCTTAAAACACAGGTGTGAACAGGCGTGGAGGATGAACCGAAGACATTCAAAGCAGCTAAGGAGGAGGGTGGGGGGCCAGAAGAGAAGGGGAACAGTGTATGAAAGAAACAGACGGGGAACCATGCCTCATTTGTCAGTTGCAAATGAAGTGTTAACCAATATTTTATTTTACATACATCTAGATTAGCTTTAAGTGTCTGGGTTGGAATCTAATATCAATCGGACATATTTTCCTTTTCTATATATTGACCTTCAAATGATCAAGGTAGGAAAACGATGAGAAAGATAAAATATTTTTCTTCTTAATTTTGGGAGTAATTTAAGGACTCAGAGCATCAACCTTGCAGGGTATGTTTGAGGCAATCTCTACACACTCAGGTTAGTTAGATTCAATGGTGCCAAGTGTATATTCAGTGGCAGAGTAAATATTTCCCAAATGCTGCCTCCTTGGGAGCAAGTAACCACAGTATTTCTGCTGTGCGATGTGTAAAGATTTTACTCTGGCCAGGAGCTTGGAGCCAAATGGGGTTTGCCAGAAGAAATAGAAGGTCACTTCTGTTACAGCAGTAAGCACATCACATCTGGTCTCTTGAAAGGAAAAGAACAGAATCCAGCACCCACTTGCTCGCCTAGAAATTATTTCTCTTCCAGGGAATCTTTTCATTTTTGGTTAAAGCAATGTGACACACCTTAGCATCAATACTCAAAAATACCCTCTGAAAGTCACTGGTTTTGAGAATGCTCACCTCTTTAGAGGATTTTGACCACTAGGTTTTGTTTTGTTTTTTTAAATACCGTCCTGGGTAAAACTCATGTAATAATCCTAAAATGAGTATCAGTCCTTATGTCTGGAGTGTATTTTTTATTTTAAACCATCACCAGGAAATTACAAACTAAAAAAATTAATTGGTAAAAATGGCCGGTCAAGTGTTGTTCCCCTACAACCAAATGCCTAGTGTAGGTGGGAGGAAGCCCTTAAATGGCACTACCAGGCAGTTTAAAACCCTGCCATTCCCCAATTTGCTCCAGAGAAGCGCTTGAGAGAGAGGACAGCCTGGAGGCCCTCACTCTAAAGAACAAAGGACAAATACAGTCAATACATCCCATAATGCTTACATTTCCTTTGCCTTTTCCCCTTGGTTTTTCCTGGGAAGGACTGACCTGGGCAAAGCACTCCACTCTCTAAAAGACACTGTATAGACCTTTTAGAAGCGCAAAGTCCAAGGCTGAGGTGAACTTCAGGTCAGCGCGTCTAACAAATATGAAAATGTCGGCTGGTGAGGGCGCGCCTGTGACTTAACAAAGACTGTCAATGTGTAAGATTAATAAGAAACAAAATGCACACGGTGTCACTGTTCGGTCACTTTGAAACTTGGGACAGGGTTGCATTCAAGTGGGAAGGCTGTTCCAAATATATTCAAAATGATTTAAATCAGATTCAAACCAAGCAGCGGACACTGTCTCTTTCCAGTGCCCCTTTCCCTCAGACTCCTTTCCACTCTCCTCCTCCATCTGGGATTTGAGGACATGATGAAAAGTTATTTCACTTAAAGGGATTTTGAGAAAGCTTTTGGGGGGAATATATGTTTTCCCCGCACATGGAAATGAACAAATGTGCTTGCCAGTTTCCCAAGGAAGAGGTAGTGCTTCAACCCTGATTGGGACTAGAGCCAGTTGGTGCGAAGATTAGCATGCTCCCTCTGCTCCATTCCAGGGCATTCCGTCTTTTCCCCGGGCAAGATGCTGCTGGTAAACTTTGGTTTGTTTTTCTAATTAAGTTAGTTTCTTCTGAGCTTTCCTTTGGTGTCTTGGACGTTATGTAAAGGCAAGAGGTGCTTTTTAGTTTTAATGTTTTTCAAAAGATTATTCGATTCAATGGGATTATGCTATGCTTGCTTGCAAAGGGAGCCTGTGGAAGGTTTAGGAGAGGTACTGAGACTGTTTATTACAGCCATAAATCTTGCAGTAAAATGTCAAAATGTCGGTGTGTGAGATAACACTTGGTGGTCCTGGCTCCGTTTGTGTTTATGATAGAAGCACAAAGACAAGTTACAGGCCTTGAGGGATTCTGTGTAAGCCCATCTTCCTCAAGTAATAGAACCTCCGGAAACAGGCATAGTTAACTCACGCAGCTTAACCATATACAAAACAGTGCCAGTGTCTCCTTAATACTTAAAAGTAAAGACTCTGTAGACCACTCTGAGGCTAAACAACAGGAATTCTATGTCTCAGTGCCTGTAAATAATATTAAACAGACATGGTTAGGACTCATGTGCTTGGTGACACCAGGAACAGGCAAGATTCCCTCATCATGCTTTTTCTCCAACTTGAAACATAGCCAGGTGTGTAATACACATATATTTGTATATATAGTATGTATGTGTGCTACTTAAGTTAGGTAATATATAATTTATGTATATATTTTCTTGCTAGAGAGGGCAGCTACATCACGGGCTAGATTTCCTCCCTCTAGTCTAGAGAGGCTATCTAAAGGTTATAATCAGTGTTGATTTCTATCTATGGCTCAGATTTCATTAAAAAAAAATCAGGGTGTCTCATGTCAGTGGACAGCTCTGTATGGGCCCATGCGTTTGGTGTGGAAAAACCTCTTTGTGCCATTTCAGGACGAGTCCAGGCTGAAACTAACATGATCCTTTTCTTAACCTCTTTTTCTAAATTAGTTTAAAGATTAGTCTCATATAATAGTCTTTATGTGGCTAAGCATTAAATGACTATCCATCAAATGGATATATCCCAGCATTTAGTAGCCCAAATGAGCAAGCGATATAAATGAAGATAGACCTGACATTCTTCTTCTTGAAGTGTCTCCAGGCTTGGGTTTATAACTTTCCTTGTCTTTGACACTCACTTGTGAGAAGGTTGTTGGTTTCTCCTGCTGTCTGAAAAATCAACTAGGTGCACCAACTCAAATATTTTTGCTTTGTATGTCAACATGAGAGTTATGCTAGTTTGCACTGTTTTACTATCATGCAAAGGGGATCTAGCCGTGTCTGCTGCTATTCAGAAGAAAGGGAACACAGTAAGAATGAAGCATCAGGGTTTACTTCAAAGATCAACATTAGGTGGAATTAATAAGTAATTTATTTGTTAATGATGACATAAATAGTTTACCCATCAAATTTCAATTACCAAATGGCAGACAACAGTCCCCTCTCTCTCCTTTCCGGAGCTACTGATATCGTTAATATGCTAATTTTCAGCAATTCAGAAATTACAGACTGTCCTGTAAATATAAGCCATTGCCACAGCCTGAAGAAGGAGCATCCAAAAGGTGAAGGAGGGGAAAAAAAAAGTCAGAAGACCGGTTGACGATCAGACCCGCAAGGGTCTTATTCTATCTCAAGCTTGTTTTTGTTTTTTTGTTTTTTTTTCTATGATAAGAAGTTACTGGATTCAAAGCCGGGTTTTGTGCAGGCGTTGCCTCTCCATTCCCATTCTAGGGTGGAGGTCTCACAATAGCGCCCAGTAAAGGAGGCGTGTTTAGCTCTCTCGTCAGCACCTCCAAAGAGTAAATGAAAAAATGCTGTACAAATTCTGCCTCTGGAAAAAAAGAAAGAAAAAAATTTAAGCATCCACGAGGTTTTACTGGAACGCCCTCGCTGTGCGTCTCTAACTGGATTGTTCAGCGGCCCATTCCACCCACCCTTCCTGTGCAGCGGCTCCAGGCCGGCTTCGCACAGCAGGGGCTCCCCAGCGGCCGAGGGGATGTGCAGAGGGTGGGTCAAGAATCAACGCGCGCGCGGGCGAGGAAAATGGGTCTGTAGGCCTGCTTCGTTTTATCCCGGGGCTAGGACAGAAAGCCAGGGTCTGCCTCTTGGTCCCAGTGTCCTTCCCTGTCCTGGAGGGTCTCGAACCCTCGGAGGATCACCCGAGGCCTGGATGGACGGGAACCCAGCGCTGAGCCGTGGAGACCAGCTGCCCCCAGGCCTAGGGCAGACGTGGGCAGGGAGAGGGCTCCAAAGCGCCCACAGCCTAACAGGCCCCGACTTCTCAGCCGGAGTCCAAGTTGGGGGGCCTCGAGGAACCC